AAACAGGCCACTCCCAGTCATCTCTGCAGCTGGCCCTGACCACCGGCGGTCAACCCCTCAGGGCCCAGCATGGAGAATGAAATGGTTTCTGAGCTTAGAGCCAGAGGCTTACATGGCACAAAATGGACACAGCCCAGGCCCATATATCATTAGCAGTAAGAGTGGCGGGGCGTGGTGGGGCGGGGCGGGGGTGGGGGGCTGTTATTCACAAGAAGAAACAAAGGGAACACCAGACTTTCCTCAGGAAATCAGGGTTTAAGTCAAGCAGCTCACCACAAGATCTTAGCCCTTGGTTTCTGGTCTTACCTGTCATATTTTTGGTGGCATTAGAAAAGATAACTTGGGAACTTCACATCAATCAATAATTAAATCAAAGCTCTTAGTACTTTCCAGAGAATCGCAATTCAAATTTACATTAGCCCCTCTTGGGTCTCCAGAGCAGAAACTGCATCAAAAAGTTACCAAGGATCTGGTTTACACCACTTTCAAAGTAAAACCCATTATTAATGACAGTAAAGACCCTAACGCCTACCCACTGATAGGTGAGGAAGAGCTGAGGGATCGGGAGCAGGGTGCCTGATGGGAAGACAATGGGGTTGAACAGAGACCCACTTTGATTCCTGATGGGCTCTGCCCATCTGCTGTGGAAACTCCTCAGGGGTGTGTGTGCGTGTGTGTGTGGGTGTCTTCCTTTTCTTTCTTTTATAGAAAAGAAAGCATCATATATTGTTAGATGACTTGCGTTTTTTTTTTAATAATATAACGAAATTGGAACAAAGTTTAAGGCTGCTTTTAGACTTTCTGTCATCTCAAACAGTGGTCTCCAAATCTTTTTGCTGTCAACTTTATCATTAAAAAATTACTGAAGATACATATATATAATATATGTATTTAATATATAATATATACCAATTCGATTAAAATTTCATAAGGTTAATATTGTTAATACAGCAGTGGCATGATTATACTCTCTAAAGAAATAATTATATACATTATAAATATGTTATATATTTATTTTTATATAAATATATAAAAATATATTTATACATTATAAATATGTTATATATTTATTACATATAATTATATAACATAATAAATTATATAATTATAATAATTATATTTATGTGATATATTATAAATATGTTATAAATATATCATATATAAAATTATTTCATTTATAAAGTATAATCATGCCACTACTGTACTAACAATATTTACATTATGAAATTTTAATTGAAGTGGAAACTGCAAAAGGATAAATTTTAAATACTTAATTTTTAAAAATTGAATTTGATTTTTAATGGTAAAAAAATGCTTTCTAAAATATTACTGTTAATATCTTCGATAGGACCAATGTGTTGAATATGCCTTGTCATTTTCAAAAAGTCCTGGGTTACCCTTTTGTCATATAGCCATTCAAACGTCTGGCTATACATACAGTTTATTTTAATGCTTGGTTTCAAAGTCCATCAGAGCTGAAAAAGACACTTAACAGAGATATGTAGATTCAACAGAAGAAATGCCTCACCAGATGAGCTTTAGTAATTCCCAAAACTTATTTTTCAGTCTCATCTATTACACAGAGACAATTGTTGAAATTTTCTTTGCTTTTAAGGGTTTTTTAGTTTTGTTTTTGTAATGTGCATGTAGTAAGATGGGAACATTTCCAAACATCTGTTTTCAAAAGGCTCTTGCCATAGATTCAATTTCTTTGGAAAAGAAGTTAACTTCCTCACTAATTAATTTCACTAAGTGAAAATACCACTTCTACCTTGAAAAGATGGATTGTGTGTTTACTTTAAAAAATATATCTGCTAGGCAACATACTAACAATCGCCACTTGCCATGACAGCACGTCTGCAATGCTTGTCTTTTTGTCAAAGAAAGGATCCAGGACTCAACCTCAGGTTCCACAACTCCTTTAAATGCACTACCATGAGATAAGCAGTGTAGTACAGGAGTCCCCCTTGACCACTGGCCATCAAATTGCAGCGTTATAATCATCCCACTCTTTGAAAGGCTTTGCTTTTGTGAAACTAATCACATTGATAACATCCTATATGAATGTCAATTGCAGTTATTGACAATACGCTAGATGCGGGACTGTGAGAAGATGCTCCGGTGGACCTCCTCCATGTGCCTCTCCCTCTTCGCAGATGTTGTCTGCCTACAGCAACTGCAGTCACATAAGACATCTGACTGTGTCATGTCTGTACTGAGGGAGGGCATCATGAGAATCCAGCATTACATACTAGGCAAGCTTAATTGTGTTCTCATTTTGAAATGAAGCAAATATAGACAGACATTCTGGTATTTTCTCCTTGGACTATAACAGATTGTCTTGAACATCTATGGAGGGCTTGCACTGTACTTGGAGAGTCTCTACAAAGGACTCTCTACAATTAAATCCAAAAACTAGTTTTTCTTTAGTTTCCCTTTCTTCTAAAGTAAAATGCTTGCCAGATTCAATCTTTTCCTTTCTTCTTCTAAAGTAAAATACTTGCCAGATTCAATCTTCATAGAACTGTATCCTCAAATGAGTTGGCTTGGGTTGCTCCTGGAAGATCTGGCAACTCGTGCCCCCCCCCACCACCTCAGCGCTCCCCACTGGCCTCGTACCTGGCAGCATGATGATAAAAATGAAAACATCTACAATGTCCACGTATTGAGCTATTATCCTGTGCTACTCCCTATGCTAAACGCTCTAGAAAGATAGTCAATTCTCTTTACCCACTGTAGCTATGTTCTATAATGTCTATGCAGACAGAATTAGCAAATTCTGAACCATTGCTTCTAAGGGAAATATACGTTTAGGTTCCTTCAAGCTTGTGGGTCACAACATTCTTGTCAACTGATCAATACATAACCTTAAGTGTGTTTCTTAGTCACCTTTAAAATGTTGATTCATTAATGTGGAACTCAGGGCCAACAGCACTTTAACTCATGCCTGAAAAAAACAAAATACCTGCTTGTATTTTCTCTGTAAGTCGCTTCACAGTCTTCTTGCACACTGGTCAGAACTTCAGCACTGTGCTTGAGGCCATTTTAAACAGCAAAATCAGCCACAAAAAAAGCACAAAAATGCCCCCCAAAATGTAGCACTAAACAGACTTAGAACAGGACAATTGGGCTGGGTGTGGTGGTTCACGCCTGTAATCCCAGCACTTTGGGAGGCCAAGGTGGGAGGATCACCTGAGATTAAGAGTTCAAGACCAGCCTGACCAGCATGACAAAACCCCATCTCTACTAAAAATACAAAAATTAGCTGGGCTTGGTGGCGTGCACCTGTAATCCCAGCTACTTGGGAGGCTGAGGCAGGAGAATTGCTTTAATCCAGGAGGCAGAGGTTGCAGTGAGCCGAGAGCACACTACTGCACTCCAGCCTGGGCAATGAAGCGAGACTCCGTCTTAATAAGAAAAAAGCAAACAAACAAACAAACAAAGAAAAAGGCGATTGTTTACAGTATGAAAGCTGAAACAAGAAGGCAGAGTGTTTCCTTCTTTGGCCCCAGCTGGGAATGTGTATGCTGGGCAACTGAAATTTTTTGCCACTCTGTACATGACCTCAAAAGAGCAAGTGTATTGATATTGGGGTTACAAACACATTTTTTTAGCAAGTAGACTTCATTTGCAAACATAGAATTCTTGAATAACGAGGATCGACTGGGTCATCTCATAGTACCCTTGTAAATAGGTACTACCCTAGTGACATGTGAACCCAAAAGAACCTCAGAAGTCTCTTCTTCTGGCTACCTTCCTTGGATTTGGGAGGCTGGTATGGTGAAGTGACTTCTCCTAAAACGTCCAGCGCATGTGTGATCCATATGAAACTAAACCTAGGTCTCCCAGCCAGTCAGTGCCCTTTCCAGTACATAGTTATGGGACATGGGACCAAATACAGCTAATTTAACTTGCAGATGGGACTACATGGAAAACTTCTTGCATCCTACCCTGCCCCAGTTTATTCTCTGCAATAATTAAAATCTGCTTTTGATCAGAATATTTGATTTAATGACTTCTAGGACATGGGTACAATGAACACTTTAAAAAGGAAGATCACAAACCTGAATGAAATCAGGCACAAAATGAGAAATTAAAGGAATAAACTCCATAAAATATTTGCCGCAAGGACAGGCTTTGACTTTTTAAATTTAATTCTCCACTGAGCCAATTCATAGATGGCTAATATGAGAAGGAAGTGATGTGGAAAAATCCACACATCTTGTAGAATTTAAAAGAGATGAGAGCACATGATGCATAAATCGAAAAGATGTGCCAGGATGTGATATTTTAGTTAGAAAACTGCTAATGAATGTATATTTATAAAGGTATATATTGATGCCAGCTTATCTTAATTTTTTTGATATTCTAACAATGATACAAAATTAGGTTGTTCTTTATTTGGGGAAAAGAAGTAGAGAATTTGAAGCCCAAATTAAAATGGCTCTTATAACTAATGTTGTAGCCTGCAGGCTCTTTGAGAAGTGTGTGCACCTCAAACTCAAAGAAAGAAAAAGAAAACGAAAAGGCAAAGATTAAGTTGGTTCTCTGCATAAGAGCCTCTGCTTATCAAGAATTGGTTCATCATTACTTTTATATATAAGATTTTTATTTCAAAGAATTCGTTTGTTCTAAGACTTTATACATTTGAGAATCTTTTCCCCAAAACGATTATAGCTTCATCCATTTATCTGGGATGATAATTGAGTGATTCTCATCCAATAATATTTCCAAACACCTTCATATGCATGGCATGCCAAACTTCCGTTATTGGCAGAAAAAGATGCTGTTACAGCTTTGTTTGTTACAACTGCACTTTTCACTTACTCTTAGAAGAAACTAAAAATTCCTATTCAAGACCCTAAATTTTCATTTATACCTCTTGTCTCAGTGTCACATCATCCATTCCTTTCATCCTTTAAGTTAAATCCTGTAAATCTTACTCATGTACTCATGTTAATTTTATAATAAACCATCTCCCCCCAAAAACAAAAGCTCACTTGTTTCAAGGATACTTTTTATTGATGAAAAAAATCTTGCAGATATGAAAAGATAATTTTCTTATTCCTATGACATTTTCTGTTTTTACAATTTTCTTTTCAGCAATGAAAACCTCTGATGTTCTCTTTTGGGAAGGTAGTTTATCCAACATAAGGATCCCATCCTCTTCCATAAATGAATCGATTAATCATGTCAAAAGCTCTCAGAGGCTGGTCATAGGGTAAAATATGTCCTCCACCTCGAATAATTACCTTAAAAAGAAAAAGAACGGAAATTTAGAGAAATGGATATTCTAAATACATGAAAAGTTTTCATTCAGATTAAACTCTATTTAAAACTCACATGAAATACAGAACATACTCTCCCAATGCATGCCTTTGGATAGGCTTTAATAATAGGCATGTTAAGGTAGAAAAGTTTTAAAACTTAGTTAATTTTACGCAAAGTTGTGTTCATTTCTCATGAGTGTAAAAATTGAAAATTATTCCTTGTCTTTTTCCTCTTGAGAGTGATCTGCCTGCTCCCCGCAGTTGGGAGTGCTGGGCTGCAGGTGTTACCTGGTGAGGCCCACCTCCAGCCCACTAATTCTGGGGTATGTCAGGTCTGCCTGCAATGGGGTGGATTGTCTACTTAATTCCACCCTTCAATTAGCCAGCCCAATTGTCCCTCACACTGAGCCATACCTTCCATCTTAGCCTGTATCAGTAATAAAGCGGAAATTTTGGTTCTCAAAAAAAATAAAGAAACCAAAACATCCTTGATGGAGGCAGGAGGATGACCTGAGCCCAGAAGTTGGAGGCTGCAGTGAGCTAGGATTATGCCACATGCACTGCACTGCAGCCTGGGTGACAGAATGAGACCCCATCTCTTAAAAAAAAAAAAAACCTTGACACTTGAAATAAAAGAAAGTCATGTTTTGAGCAGCATAGAGTTAGAACATTCTTTTTTTTTTTTTCTAATATTAGATTATAAAATATTTTAAAACATAGCAAATTTGAAAACAATTCATATAGTGATGATTTTGAGTCTCTCCTGAACATTCACTTTACTTGCTTTCTCACATAAGGGTGCCTCTCTCCATCCCACACCCATCCATTAATCCATCTTATCTTTCTGACACATCTCAAAGTGGGCACATAGCGTACTTCCCCCAAACACTTCAGCATCACATTATTCGTCAGAGTTCAATATGTGTTTACAGATTTTCTTCTTTTGAGTGAAGACACAATGAAATGCACTAGTCTTAAGTGTAGACTCACCACTTCTGACAAATGCATACACCTATGTAACTCAAGCCCTTGTTGGGTGATATAAAGCATTCCTAAAACATCTCTAATGACGAGTTCAAGTCAACAAAAGGGGACTGGTCTCTGTACTCATTAAGCCTCTAGCATCAGCTAATATTCCAAGTAGAGGGAAACGGGAAGCTGTCATGATTCAATGCCAGAAGGGCAAGGACTGACACTGAGGGTTGGGAAGTTACATGCAGGAGAGGTCAGCCTGGCCTGAGATATCTTGTTCCATATGTGGAGAATGCACAGGAGGTACCAGAGAACGAAGTGAATAAACATATGCAAAAAGGGCATCACTTTCAGTAACTTCTAGCTGCTGAATCACAATCAGCAATTAAACGTCACTTTCACAAGGCCCTTCCTAAGAGGTTGGGTTCTTTTACTTGTCTCAATCTGAAGGAAACTGAGGCAGAAAAAGTATATTTGGATAGTGCATTTATTATATTGAAAATCTGCCCCTACCTCCCAACACATTCCATCTTACAACCTTGATGTGTGGTAAGTAGGATTAACACTATTAGATGATACTTACCTTGCAGCTCGCAGCTATACAAACTGTGCACTGCACAACTGCAGGGAGCACCATTCACATGAGCATTGAGATGACTGAGCTATTTGGAATCATTTAGTAGCTTGTCCAAGTCACACAACTGTAAGTGAGATAACTAGCTAGAACCCTGACTTCTGATGCAAACACCGGTGTGGTGTTTTTAATCAAATCCTAGTACTCACACAATCATTCCTTATCTTTGAACTGGACTTCGCAGCTTAGTCATGGAACATTTTTATTCACCTCTCAATAGCCCTCTGAGGTTTATTGATGAAACAAAAAAATCTTGCAGATATAAACAGATAATTTTCTATATTTTTGTATTTCACATATTACAGTGAGGGAGGCAGATCTCATTTGCAGATGTGGGACCAGACTTAACTCTTCCACATGCAAATGTGAAACTTTTGTGTTTTGCTGCAGTTGATCAAAGGTCATGTGTGCCTCACTGCAATGCCAGCGAAACCCATCGACCATTTGTGTACAAGCTTGCAGCTGGAAACCCAACATGTCCACTTTTTATCACAAACTGAAAGTAAACATGTGTGACAAGAACCCCTTCATAGGACTCTAGAGGGAAACTTTTGCCGCCCCGCAATCCCAGGCTAGACATTTCTTCCTGCAGATTTTCATCTGTATCTCTGGCCCTGGCAGGAATCTGATGAGTGATTTCTGTGTGGCTTCAGCTCAGCTGAGGACACTTAACAAAGTCCTATGTGTGACAAAACCCAGCTGCTTCAACTGGAAATGAGTTTGGCAGCAATGGTCCGGAACAGCAATAAATTGAATATCCGAGAGCTAAAGGTCATCCTGCCCCCAGAACCAGTGCTGCAGCTGACAGAGGATAAACAAAGGATAGCACAGTGCTTCACAGCCCGGGCTCAGAAGTCAGAGTGCAGGAGCATGGCGAGAGGCACTGCACATTGTGTGACCTTGGGCAAGGAACTTAACCTCACTGAGCCTCAGGTTCCTTTACTTTACAATTGGGAAACAAGTATTACCTCATAGGGTAGTTGTGAGTTGTGTGAGGAGTTAGTGGAATAACGTCCCTGGAATATTTAGTACAGTGCCCGACCTGGGATGGTCTTCAGTAAATATTGGTCATTTTCAGTATTCTTCCAACACTTATCTATATTCAAAATCCAAAATCAAAATGCCTATATCAGGAGGATCGCTTGAGTGCAGGAGTTTGAGGCTGCAGTGAGCTGACTGAGCCACTGCACTCCAGCCTGGGCAACAAAAGGAGATCCCATCTCTAAGTATAAATCAATAAATATATATGTATCTATGCCTATGTGAACCTAACTACCCTAGAACATGGTGTTCCTACATTTTCATAAAAAACCTTGGTTTAAAAAGGTTGTTTAGAACAATGGTTCTTGGCTGGGTGCAGTGGCTCACGCCTGTAATCCCAACACTTTGGGAGGCTGAGGTGGGTGGATCATTTGAAGTCAGGAGTTTGAAACCAGCCTGGCCAAGATAGCGAAACCCCGTCTCTACTAAAAATTTAAAAAAAAAAAAAATTAGCTGGGTGTGGTGATGCATGCCTGTAATCCCAACTACTGGGGAGGCTGAGGCAGGAGAATCACTTGAACCCAGGAGTCAGAGGTTACAGTGAGCCAAGAGAGCACCACTGCACTCCAGCCTGTGCGACAGAGCGAGACTCCACCTCAAAAACAAACAAAAAAAACAAAGCAATGGCTCTCAGACTTGAACGTGCATAAAAATACCTGCGCTCATTAAAAGAGATTGTGAGGCGTCACCTCCAGACTCTCCAGTTCTGAAGGTCCAGGACAGGGCCTAAGAATTTGCATATCTAACAATTCCAAAGCAATGCTGATGCTGTTGTTCCATCTACTTGTTGAGAACTACTGTTGATAATTTTTTCTATTCTGTGGCAAACCAGGGAATTCTGTTTACATCAAGGTAATTTCATTAACACCTACTCATGAATACAAGTAGAAATCTGTTTAATACCTACTCATGACCTCACTTCCTGGGCATCCAGTCTCCTGGTATTTATTCACACACACGCACACTCACACACACCTTCCCTGTCCATAATTATCGAGTGGTGAAGGAGAGCTGAAGGGGTCAGGTGTTCTTACTCTTCCTCTCAGTGACCTACCTGACCCTGGTCCAATTTCTGAGCTGCCATGTGTAATGACCCAATGACATTGTAAATTGTGTCATTAAGATTGGGGGAAAAGAAAGCTCGTTAAGGAACAAAGGTTGTTTCACATGCCACAAAATTCCCAAACAAAACATATTCGCTCAAGCAGATTCACATACAGCATTTTACTGATATTAACTTCAAAAATAAATATATTTTTGAGTGTGGAAAAATAAACCACTTTGTCGTTTATAGTTAAGCCACTCAGCATTCACAAATCAAAGATACAGATCACTCGGCAGCTTTTAGAGGTGAGTAACAAAATGTGGCGGGGCTGTAATTACATATTTAAATGTGACAAGATTAATCTCAGGGCTCCCTGAATAGAGCTGTCTATTTTGGGTGCCTCCACACTATAGCTGTAGCCTCTAACCTCATGTGTTCCAGATGTTCCAGGGGGTCACAAGTGTGTCATGAATTTCAACAGGGTTATACAAACACTTTAAAGCTTCATTCCACTTTATTTTTTAGAAAACGATATAATTCTCCATGGAACTAGAAACACAGACCTGCCAGTAAAGGTTTCCCAGTTATGCCTGTTTAGATGACAGAAAAGAGGGAAGTTCACAGTGGGCTTGTTGATGTAGATGTGTCAGGGGAAGCTTCTTGGGGGTCTTGAAGGAGATCACTGGACAGAGAATGCTGGGTAGGGTGGGGGTGGAGGGATCACCGCAGATAGAGGAAACTGCGTGAAAATGCTGAGGCCGTGAAGCTGCGGGCACATGCAGCACAGGGATCACCGCAGACAGAGGAAACTGCGTGGAAATGCAGGGGGGCGTGGAAATGTGGGGGGCGTGAAACGGCACGTGCAGCAAGGGATCACCGCAGACAGAGGAAACTGCGTGGAAATGCAGGGGGGCGTGAAGCTGCGGGCACGTGCAGCAGTCTGTGTGTCGTCCCATTCGTGCGGGAATAGAGGGAAACAGAAGAGACAGATGAACAGGCAGACACTAGCGGGACCATGTGATGCCCCAGGTGACATGCTGGGATGAGTGGACCTTATCCTGTCGGGCTTTAAAAGCAACTGTGGTAAAATACACTTAACATAAAATTACCACTTTAACCATTTTAAAGTGTACAATTCGGTTAGTAGATTCACACTATCTAGTTGCAGAATATTTTCATCACCCCAAGGGAAACCCGTATACATCAGTAATCACTTCCCACTCCCCTCTCCCCAACAGCCCCTGGCAACCATTAATCTGCTTTCTGTCTCTATAGACTTGCCTATTCTGG